AAGGGGGGGGGGGGGGGGGGGGGGGGGGGGGGGGGGGGGGGGGGGGGGGGGGCGGAGGAAAGCCGGCGAAAGAGGAAGAGGAAGAAGGACAAGGAAAAGGAAGAGGGGAGGAAACGTGGATAGAGACAAGGACGCGAGTAACGAGCGCTCAACGAGGGAACTACGCGAGGAAAATCGATAGAACGCGGGGCGGGATGGAGAGAGCGCGGGCGTGTTGAGTGCAGCCCCCGGAGTTTGGTCTGGAATTCGTGGGTTGCGAAGGCAGAGGCAGGGTCAGGCGCCGACGTCGACGTCGACGGCAACGCCGACAGTCGAATAATCCGAACCCCCAGCACCTGGCCTTGAGTCCGTCCCCTCGTTAGTCTACCTTGTTCACTTCCTTTTCGATGAGCTTGTATTTTTTGCTGCGCGCGAGCTTCTCCGGAGGAGCGTTCGCAACCTCCAGCTTGCTGCGTTGCTGCTCCGCGACACGAAGTTTCGTTTCCGCTTGCCTCGACTCCGCTTGGTAAGCCTGGTACGTCTTCATCGTCGTATGGAGCTCGTGCAGCACCCGCAGGATCTCCTCGTGTGTCTCGTAGCCTATCTCACGGCACTGGAAAATAATCGAGAGACGACGCGCTGTCCTTAATCGTTTTCGCTGTACACGCCGCGCGGATTTTCAGATGAAAATCAGATGATAAAATGACATAACCGAAGCCCGGCGACACGGGGAAAATATGGCGGAGATACGGCGGGATGCCGTCGCAAAAACCAGGGTCGGCAAAGCGTAAATACAAGCAACGGGGCACACGTATTATACTATTATACTATTCTATATATTCTATATATATCTATATATACTCTATATATTCTATATATTCTATATATATTATATATATATTATATATACTATTCTATATATATTATATATATTCTCTATATACTCTATATATATTATATATATTATATATACTATTCTATATATTATCTAGATACTCTATACTTTAATATACTATTCTATATATTCTATATATTCTCTATATACTCTATACTTTAATATACTCTATATACTATTATACTATTATAACGTATTATAATACGTATTATAGGTTCATTAGTCCAGCGATAAAAGTTCGTTCGCTCCATTGCGCGCTGCGCTTCGCCGGCGAAACATTTTCCCGGACAATCCGGCAATCGATGCGAGAAGATAACGTTGCTCCCGATTAAGATGATAGCCAACGCAGACGTCGGAAACTAACGGAACAACGCTGCTGTCTCTCACGGCGCAAACTTACCGATCCAGAGGGGAATTACAAATAAAGCGAATGTTCTGTAACCTGTACGATACCGGTACATGTGTACGGTACACGACGGTACGCTGGTGTTACTGTTACTAAATTCAGGGATACGGATACCTTTCGGTGGTATGCTGCTGCATACCGAGCCTGCAACCGGTATCGAATAACCGTACAAACAAAGATATACGCGACGACGACTCCGAAAGTGTAACAATGAAAGATCGGCCACTTTCTTTCGAACCCGCTTCTTCGGAGAACACGAATTCGAGCCTACGGCCGGGCGAAAACGAATTCGTGCTCGCGTAACAAGGACAATTGGTTGCCCCTTAACACGGCTTCACAAACGGCTATTTATTTCCCATTGATCCAATAATATCCTCGGCTAGCCCGTCTACAATGTCAATAAGTATCGAGGGAAGTTACGCATCTCCAAAGACGTCGAGAACGTGTTGCGACCATCACCACACACACGCGCTTACCGGCTCTAGCGAGCAAGCAATAGAACAAGAATAATAGTATCTACTCACACGCTTGTATATCCGCTGGACGTCTTCCATCACCTGGTTTAGACGACCCACGAGGTGCGTGCTATATACTTCCGAAAGCGCCGCATGGTCTCTGCTCAAGGACTTGGTCTCCTTGATGAGTTGCTGCCAGCAAGCGTAGCTGGAGAACAGTGGCCACTGTTCTCGTCTAAAAATCGTTTCAGTTTACCGGTCGGGTCTGAACATGTGTTTAAAATTCGAATCGAATGTGCCGCTCGAAATCAATGGGAAATAAAAAAAAGAAGAAGAAAAAAGACGTGCGGCCCGGACAGCTGCAACGGTATACGATGTATCGAGGCTTCGAAATCGTTGCGCACCGTTCTTAACCTTTTAGGCACGACGCGCCACTATAGCGGCTTCCGCGGATATCATCTTTTAGAATGACACGCCACTATTTCGCGGATGTCATCTCTCTGGACGACGCGCCACTATAGTGGCTTCCTCTAGTAGCTCACTCGCTCATCGTTTGAACCAAATAATCGTCTTCATATGCATTGTTTCGCACTTCTTTTGTCTTCGCATCGATTTACAACAGTCTACAGGGTGTCCCAAGAATGTCTCGCAATCCGGAAATGGCGGGTTCCTCGGATCATCGGATCATTTGAAGCAACTTTTTCCTTTACAAAAATGTTCTCCGAGGCACCGTTAACGAGTTATCAACGAAAAACAGTGACCAATAAGAATCGAGTACGGCCGACGCGAGGCGGCCCAGCCAACCAGCGCGCGGTTCCGCTCATTGGCTCGGTCGCCTCGCGCCAGCTGCGCTCGCCTCGCATTGGTCACTGTTTTTCGTTAATAACTCGTTAACGGTGCCTCGGAGAACATTTTTGTAAAGGAAAAAGTTGCTTCGAATGGCCTGAGGAACCTGCTGAGAACCCGAACTTTCGGATTGCGAGACATTTTTAGGGTACCCTGTATATACAGACAGAATATACAGTATCAGACTCTGCCGTCCAGAGAAATAGCCTCGCGCAAAATTCAGCCGTACCTAAAAGGTTAACAGACCGACGGGGACTCGCTGCGATTGCAAGAATCGGTCGAGTCGAACGGATCGCATTATAATTTACCGCATTGTACAAGAACGAACCAAGCTCCACAGCGATCTATACCGGCTCGCATCCCGCGTCTTCCGACGGTTTCGCGATCGGTCCGTGCGCGAAAGCAGGATATATGGTATGTATATAGGTATATATATGTACTTTTGCTTTTGCTCCTTGTGCCTGAGCTGTATACTTCTCGCCATCTTGTCGAGCGACTTGCTGTAATCGAGCTCCAGCTCTGCTCTCTTTCGAAAAAAATCCTGAAGCTCCGCGACGAGGGCGACTTGCGCCTCCATCCGGACGTCGAGACATCTCAGCTGTTCGTTCAGCTGTAGCCGTATGTCTGCAAGAGGAAAGGAAAACGATCGCGAGATTAGAACGAGATTATTTCTACAGTCCGGAATCGTTTCGGATGATTCGGTCGATGATCCGTTGTTCCGCGCGTCTCTCTCTCTCTCCCTCTCGAAACGTCTCTATCCCATTGCCGGAAACACGATCGGCCGCGATCCGATAACGATCGGCTTTACCCCGTCCTCTTTTTGGTTAATCGATAGCTGAATTGATTAATACGAAAATGGAAGTTTCGAGTCCCCCCCCCCCCCATCGTTCTCCCAACAACGATGGATTTCGATCAAATTCTTCGAGCGAAACTCGGTTGCCGACCGGTATTCATCGCAGCACCGCGTATCGATTCTTCATACCTTCGTAGCATGATTCATCCCTCTAGCAAAAGAGGAGAGATTTTCGACTTCTTGCGGGGGTGAAACGACGCACGCACGAGTTCATGCCACGCACGCGTAAACACACTACGCGTATATACGCTGTTAGAGCCCGGAACACGCGAGACTTTCTTTTTTTCCATTTGAATCGAGACAGCCAATTTGTATCGGCTATATTAGCGATTATTATTTAATCTTCCGGTTAAATTCGCGGACGATCTTTTATACTTGAAAACGCGCGTGCGTGTGTCAAATATTCCAGCGATATTCTAGCAATATTTTCGATCGCCGACGGTGACAATGTCATCATCGATGTCAGGCGTAAACCGCGCGGAACTACCGTATCGATTCAAGTTCGTAGATTCGTGGCAAAAAAACGCAAGAAACGAGCGAACTGAAAAGAGAAGAAAAATTCGACGCGTAACTCCCGAAACAGCTTCTGTTTTTTCCGTATTTTACCATTCGAATTCGCTGATCCGCGCTCAATGAAATCGTAGAATATTCGACGGGGCTGCGACGCGAGGGGCTCCGAGATTCTAGGAATCGGGGGAACGATTCCCATGAAAAGATCGATGGGTGGTCGAATGAACGGACGGGCATGGCCGCGCCGCCATTTACCTTTCGTCAAAGCTTCCCATTCTTGGCGTCCGGCGAGCTTGAACATTTTTTCTGCGTAATCCGTCAAGTTCGCTGGTATCTCTCTCTTTCTCTCTCACTCTCCCTCTCTCACTTTTTTTCTCGTCCCCTTTTCTCCCTCCCTCACTTTTCCGTTTCGTCTGTTTCGTCGGAGACGGGTGTCTTCGGTTCCGACCGTAACACACAAGTTTTTTTTTTGTTTTTTTTTTTCGCGAGCCGCAATTTCGTGTGGTAATCGTTTCACGTATCCGGCCGCGTATTATCGACAGCCTCGCGCAATTCCCATTTTACGAAATTCCGTTGGGTTTTCACTGCGTGGGGCGGATTAGATTACGTGTGTTCCCCGTGTGGCTCGATCACTTCAGGCGATTCGCATCTAAATTTCATGGCACACATCATCATCATCATCATCATCATCATCATCATCATCATCATCATCATCATCGTCGTCGTCGTCGTCGTGAAAATTTCAAATTGCTTTAGTAGGGTGATGGGGGGCGTGGGGTGGGGTGTGTGGGGGTGGGATTGCGACACAACAACGACGTGCATCGGGCATGGGCGCTATCAATTGCCCCGGGCACCGTTCGAGATCGAGAGCGTCATCATCGACGGTGTCTCCTCTTTCTCCGTTGTCGTGCGCCCCCGGGGGCGATCCGGAAAGCTCTCCGGGGCAAAGTGCGATTCGTCGCCTCGTGCTCGATGCACATGCGGCACAATGACGGTGAACGATGACGTCGAACGAGCTCGATGAAAAATGACAGAAGAAAGTAATCTAATCGGGAGGAGCTCGCGGGGCGAGAGATGTGGACCAACGCGATTAGATCGCGCTGCTTTGCTCGGCGTGACTGTGACTAGACGCGACCCGATTATACGAGTACGCGTTACAATGCCGATTCGTTGCCTGGAAAATGATGGTAACGTGATGCGATGGTTACTGACCGATGAAAATACCGAGCGTGATTTCGTGTGGAATACTTCGAGGAAGAACAAGAAAAGATTGTACGAACGATCTATCGTGCAGCAGCGAACGTTTACACTTCGGAAATTTCTATACAGTGATGTCTCTCTGATTGACGCCCAGATTGATCACAAAAATAGATAATTTGGGAAGAGGAGATACGATTATTAGAGCCTTGCGGTTTATTTTCATAGTTATAAATTGACTACAATTATAAAAACGAGTCGCAAGGCTCGAACAATCGTAACTGCTCTTCCCAAATTATCTATTTTAGTGAACGATCTGAGCGTCAGTAAGGGAGACATTTCTATACAGTAATGTCTCTCTAATTGACGCCCAGATTGCGCACAAAAATGGATAATTTGGGAAGAGGAGATTATTCGAGCCTTGCGGTTTATTTTTAGAGTTATAGTTATAAATTGTCCACAATTATAAAAACAAGCCGCAATACTCGAACAATAGTATTTCCTTTTCCCAAAATATCCATTTTAGTGGAGAATCCTGTCTCTTATACACATCTAGATGTGTATAAGAGACACTTATAAAAACGAGCCGCAATACTCGAACAATAGTATTTCCTTTTCCCAAAATATCCATTTTAGTGGACAATCTGGGCGTCAGTAAGGGAGACATTTCTATACAGTAATGTCTCTCTAATTGACGCCCAGATTGCGCACAAAAATGGATAATTTGGGAAGAGGAGATTATTCGAGCCTTGCGGTTTATTTTTATGGTTATAAATTGTCCACAATTATAAAAACGAGCCGCAATACTCGAACAGTAGTATTTCCTTTTCCCAAAATATCCATTTTAGTGAACAATCTGAGCGTCAGTAGGGGAGACATTTCTATACAGTAATGTCTCTCTAATTGACGCTCAGATTGCCCATAAAAATGGACAATTTGGAAAGAGGGGAACGATGTACAACATCGTTCCCTACCGTTTGATCTTTCTCGTGCTACGGTAAGCAAATCCGCAATCGGCGCAAACCGGCTGAAGCAGCCTTACGTGTTCTAGCCTAATGCGCATAGGTAACTTAACGGAACGCTTTAACGGCTATCAATGTCCGTTGGCGATCAAGGTTGCTCGATGAAACGGACTCGCTGTTCTAAGTAGGTGTTCTCTCGGCCGACAATAGCGACCGGTGACTTTTGAACAGTATTAAAATTCGATTTCTAGGACATAGCCGTCGAGTAGCGACGCGTGTGTAAAGGTCGATCGAACGATTGAATTGTTACGAGAGAAAACTGAATGCTCGGTGACATAAAAAGTGCAGCAACAGCTCCTCGAAGCTGCTGCGCCTATTATAGCCCGAGAGAGGATTCTGTTAATAGAATGTAACTCTCTTTCTCTCTTTCTCTCTCTCTCTCTCTTTCTCCCTGGAACGGTAAGTTGGCGTATCGCGAGCATACGCTCCGCGATTATCGGCTCGGATCGGCTTCAGATAACGATGCACGTTGTTGCGTAAAGTTTTCAAAGAGCAACGGACACAGTTTTCACAGCGCGTTGGCTATGCAGAGAATTATTTTTAAATTGCCTTCGAGTACCGGCTTAATAGGCCATTTATGCCACGGAGGAGAGTCCAATGGCCAAACGATCGCAAAGTACCTACATGTCATGCACGCCACCGACACGCAGAACGCGTTCCGATTAAATCCGGGCTCGTTATAGAAACGGAAATCAAACGGAAATTTCGTCGTTCCGGCTGGAATCTTGTTTCGGCCTCGTGCCGCGAACGAAAGTTTCTTTCGCGCGACTTTGTCAAACTTCTCGGTTTATCGCGCGTATCGTGCCTGCAGTTTTGCGTTCGTCGCCGTCGGAACGCAATAAAATAGGAACAACGTTCAAGCTTGGAAAATTACTCGCGAAACAGTATCTAAAGCTGTAGTCACACAGTGGTATGCGTTGTATGTTAACCTGTTCAACGAGATTACGTGCTAACGATACCCGACAATTTCTGGAACAAAAAAGCGTTGACATCGGACCGGTGGAATTTACTGGACGCGTTTCCCGGTTTAGCCTTAGTCATCGTAACACGATCGTTATTGTTCGCTAACGCGATGTCATTTGCTAAACTGCTCCGCAAAAGCTCCGGTAAGCCTAGAAGAACAAGACCGAAAGTATAGGCGTGAACGTACAGTGCCCGGGCGAGTTCTCCGCGTGATTGCGCCTCGTTAATATTCGTTTCGTCTCGAATTGTTTCGAAGATGCAGCCCGTCCCAGTTACGTCGGACACCCTGTACGGTTTCCGCTCCGCTAACGCAGTCACTGTCAACGACGTGTGTACACGTGTCGCCCCGGGATTTCTCACGGGAAACCGCAGTCACACGTGTACCGACGCTTCGACGATTAACAGTTCACGAATCAAACAAAATAAATCGACGCGATCTTTTTCCCCCTTCTCTCTGGAATTTTCGAGACGTTTAACCGAAAAATAAATATAGTCGCGTGCATTAATATATTAGGTGTACCGGAAAGTTCTGTCCGATAGTGTCACTCTTCAAGTTTCAATCCATATGCACATGTTGATTTGAGACATGTATGACTATCTCTCTTTATCATTGCATTTACACACATGTACTCTCCTAAATAAACTGAAACAGATGGTGGAGAAAATATTTCGGAAGCAATTTTTCGAAAAATACGAACCAGTTCTTGTTATCCCGAAATAACTAAAATATTCATCGGTGTGAAGAGAAATTGCGTTTCTAAACTAACTTTTGGGTTATTCGTTTGTTGAGGACAACGTTTCGTTCTCGCAAATATTTTATTTTATTCTTTTTTATAAAATAAATTGCTTTTATATATTTTTTGACTCTAGCATCGATATTGCAGAGAATAGAATTCTTTACGTATGTTTATTCTACCGGTCAAATATCGCCAACAAAGGTCTAGCTTTTCGTTTCTATTTCAAAGAAATAAATCGTTTTTGTATTTAGTAAATTCTATATAAAATCGTGATAACGAAATTGACACGATTTTATGGCGTAAGATGTTCATGAAACCGGGCACTAATCGAAGAATTTGAGTCACTTAAAAAACGTGTACATTACACTTGTACTCTTCTGCTCGTCTTGTATAGTTGGTTCGATAAATGTGAAAATTGTTCGCTCGATGTTTGTATGTATTAGGTCTACCGGAAAGTTCTGTCCAATAGTGTCACTTCAAGTTTCAATCCATATGCACATGTTGATTTGAGACATGTATGACTATCTCTCTTTATCGTTGCATTTACACACATGTACTCTCCTAAATAAACTGAAACAAAGATGTCTCATGTCATTATTAAGCGAGACGCGATCGCGAAAACATGGCTACCGATGATAATGCCAGACCACATGCTGCTTCGGCGACTCGTCAGAAAATCGTAGAGCTAGGCTGGGAAATTCTGTCGCATCCACCATACTCCCCAGACCTAGCACCCTCCGATTATCACTTGTTTCTGTCTTTGCAAAACTTTTTACAGGAAAAAAAATTCAAAACCGAAGCTGATGTCAACCAAGCACTAGTCGAGTTCCTCGCCTCTAAAAATAAATCATTTTTTAAAAATGTCATTTACAAGTTGCCATCACGCTGGCAAAAAGTCATAAGTAACGATGGAAAGTACATTCTACAATAAATATTATTAAATGTATGAAAATTGTGTTACATTTCAATTCAAAAACGGACAGAACTTTCCGGTTAATAATTTAGTCGATTTAGTCGACATTAATAATTTAGCCGCGAGTAACATCTTTCGAATCCCTAAAAGTAAGCTACCGTTAGATTGTAGATTGCGTTTAAAATATTTACATTGTACGAGAATGTTTGAAGTAAAGTCAAATTACGTCATATCCTGTGCGTGGATAGCTTGTGGCCGCTCGGAGACTGCACCAGGCAAACGCCTACAATGTTGTATAGGGTGTCCCAAAAATGTCTCGCAATCCGTAAATAGCGGGTTCCTCGAATCATTTGAAGCAACTTCTTCCTTTACAAAAATTCTCTCCGAGGTACCGTTAACGAGTTATTAACGAAAAACAGTGACCAATAAGAATCGAGTACGGCTGACGCGAGGCGGCCCAGCCAACCAGCGCACGAAGCCCGGTTCCGCTCATTGGCTCGGTCGCCTCGTGCCAGCCGAGCTCGCCTCTCATTGGTCACTGTTTTTCGTTGTTAACTCGTTAACGGTGCCTCGGAGAAAATTTTTGTAAAGGAAAAAGTTGCTTCGAATGACCCGAGGAACCCGCCACTTTCGGATTGCAAGACATTTTTGGGACAGCCTGTATGTTTTGCTAGATGTAAACTCAACGATTCAAACTCTGGAAAACTTGTATCGGTTCGATAGTATGAGCTTTAGGTTCGAACCTAACGATTTCATGTTTGTCGATCTACTAGCGAACGTATCAACCACGTAGAGCAGGGGTGTCAAACTCGCAGCCCGAGATGAACATTTTTGCGGCCCAGTCAATATATCCGACGCAAAGTAAAAATAAAATAGAAATAGCCTCGGCCAATAAAATTTCTCCCGAAGTAGGAAAGATAGTATCAGAGAAGAGATGTCAAGTATCAGGACGTAAACAATAATTTAACTTTATATATGTTTATTACAATGTACTAGTCAAAATAAAAATATTCGTTTCTATGATTTATTTTTATTATATATTTATTTATTTTTATATATATATTTATTATTTCTATGATTGATTTTTTTTGCGGCCCACCTAAAGTTAAGCATTGTTTATTTGGCCCAAGTTAGCTTTTGAGTTCGACACCCCTGACATAGAACAAACGAGTATCAGAAAGGGAAGCTGCGCCGCGTTTAACGGCACAAGATAGAATAAAACAGTTTGTCCGTGGGTTTGTTCGTTCGTCGGTTCGTTAGTGCATGCGTGGCGTTCGTTCGGCAACGAAGCGAACGCCCACGGTCGATCGGGAACGGTGGACTGTTAGGCACAATTGCCCTTAAATTGAGACGTACTTTTGTCCACGGTGTTTCGGTTCGACCCCGCTCAACGCTTTGACAACCGGCGTCACGCACGCGTGACTTCTCTCTGACACGAGTCTCGGTTCCCGGAGCCGGTCTTACGAAACTGCCGCGATTCCTTTCTCGCGGTGAAACGAAGTAAACAGTATCTTTTACAATATCTCGTTGCTCCCTTCGAGCGACGAGACGCGTGTCGGTTTCTATGGGTGTCTTTAAAAGAAGAAACGACCGGTGCTTGACAACGTAACATTTTTCAGCAAAATACGAGGCCATCGTAGCGGTAGAAACGGCATCGGGCGCGACGAATGTGCAAACTGCGAGAAACCGGACACTCGTGGAAGACGCGCGAGGAATAAATAAAAAAAAAAGAAAAAGAAAAAAAAAACATTGACACGCTACGAGTCGAGCAGGCTCACGACGCCGAACAACCTGATAAAGCATTATCGCGTATTTAAACGGAAGAAAAACGTCGATTGCAACCGTGTAGAAAGCGCTTAGACAGCGATTACTACGGTAAAATAAACGGAACGCGGTTCTGTTTACACTACTGTCGTGGCGAGCTGCCGACCAACGTAACGTCGCCGCTGTTGTAAACTGTTCCACCTGTATCCTCTACCAACGCAACGGGTTCAGCGTTACTCTGGAAACAGGATTTCATCGATGGCCGGTTAAATTTTCCAACTAAACGCGTTTCACCGTTTTCCGATTATCAGTCAGAAAGAAAAAAACTCGCAACGCTTCACCGCAGATCTATACGTAAATCTCGTAAGTCTCGTAGATTATTATAACAGAATAATCGCGAAATAAACAAACGTCAGGTGTACACATAATATAATCTGACGTTCTTTGTTCGCGTATTCGATTCCTATCGACCTCGGATTTTCAACGACCAGTCCAACGATTATGTATATATAATTATATACATATTATTATAATTATAGGTATATTATTATAATTATATACATATTATTATAATTATGTATATATAATTCGATCGAGCCAAGCGATCCACATTCCGTAACTCTTGTGCCTGACACTGTATTTACCAAACACCAATTCCGGACAGGTTTCTCCCAGCATTGGCGTTATACCGCAAAACCACTTGCTTCGCGGAGTTCCCGTCGGCCGAACGAATGACACAAACTTTCGTCCGATTGTTTCGAACAAACCGACGTCGCTCGTGAAAACATTGCAGGCATATAATACGCGCACTGAATCGCGCACGGAATAACGGAGAGACACTCCGATAATCGACACGCGCCTTACAGCCTTTCTATTGTCACGTTCGATGGTAAAATCTCGTAAGTAACGAACGATAGGATGGACGAGACGATGTCGGCACGCAGGAGCACCAATGGTTCTCAGGAGAGAGAGGAACGCGAGTTCGATATCCGTAGGTCGCCGCGAGACGACGAGGCAACGAGAAACGTCCTTTCTCTCGTTCGAACACGAATCTCTTCCGAACGCGTCTTACACCTCGAAATGCGGCTACCTTACTGATCGGCTAGTACCAATTATTATACGGCAGTCCTACGCAACGAGAACAAGGGGAAAGGGGGCGCTCCGTGGCGGTTATCGGTATTAATTGCAACTTTGAAGCATCTAAATTCCCTCGATTGGCGTTTTCTACTTTATCGACTTCACGCGAAGAACGGTTTCCTAAACGATCTCCGAGAAAAAACGATCTACGATCAGAAAGATCGTTGTCGGGATTCGGCAAATAATATTTGAATAAATTTATCAATGTTACGCCTCCGTGTTGCTCGTCCGCGATTCGCAGACTTCAACGAGCGAATTGGAGAACAAGCTCGGAAACGAGAACTGCGAAACGAACGGATCGGAACGAGGAATCGAGAGATCGTTCCGCGCCGACAGCTGGCGTCGACTTGTTTCGAGTCGGTCGAGGTCGCGGTCCGTTGCGAAATGACCGGGAACGGATTAGAAACGACTTGGTCGCTGCACCAGAGCTTGAACGAGCCGCGAGAAGAGAGAACTGTGAGAGGTCTGGAAAAGGAATATTTTGTTTGTCCTGGTCGTACGAAACTAAAGGCGTCGCGGGTGTCTCGACGGGAAATCACGGCGGTCGGTTGATCGACGCGATGCCGCGCGGTTTCGACGACCGCGAGAGAATTCTCATGGATCGGTCGCGACCACCAGTCGAGAAGGACTCGGCCGCGCGAACTGACCAGCAACGACAGCCACTCGTTGCTTCGACTCTTGTTAAATTAACTACAATTGCCAGCAAGGCCTGCACGCACGCGCCTTCCTCTCTACGCCTACTGGCTATATTGCCGCGGATACGCGATACGTGTGTCTCCCCGTGCACGTTCACGCATCCGTCTTAACCTTGCGCTCGTGTGCGTTCGACGCGAGCGAATCACCGTGCAGTAGCTCTCCTCTCGGCTACGTGAAATCCGCCGAGCAGCAACGCTGCCGCAACGAGACCCCGAGAGAACACGGCAATTTTCGGGATAAGTCATCCTGCCGATTTGCCGGTTTCCTAATTACCGACGCAAACGCGATCTAACCAATTAGCCACCCTTTCTTATCGACGCCAGGAACGCGGCAGAACCTGCAACGAGATTAACCAAACAAAACGAGGTTAACGTCCGATTTCTACGAATACTCGATGTTTTACCGAAACGCTGCGAACGCTGCTTGTTTTTACTGACCAATGTACGAATAATTCTGTCATTCGTTACACGATGTAGTAATCTGTGAAATAGACTCTTCGTAACGTACGTAGCACAACAGATTTCAACGTGTTTGGAGGTTATTTTTGAACGTTGAAACTGTCGTCAAAAATAATAATTAATCGATCCTCTAAGCGATCAATTTTCACTTCAACGAATATGACAATTTGCTTAAGTAGGAGAAAACAGGTAAGCAACATTTATATTGGAATTAAGTTGCTGACAGATGATTATCGCCACTAAAATGTCGTCCTTTGCATGTAGTGTCTCAATTAGCAAATTTAGGTTAAGTATTAGAACTTTTGATACTTCATTTGAACGTTGAAACTATCGTGAAAAATAATAATTAATCGATCCTCTGAGCGATCAATTTTCACTTCAACGAATATGACAATTTGCTTAAGAAGGAGAAAACAGGTAAGCAACATTTATATTGGAATTAAGTTGCTGACAGACGATTATCGCCACTAAAATGTCGTGCTTTGCATGTAGTGTCTCAATTAGCAAATTTAGGTTAAGTATCCGAACTTCTGCGCTTCTACCAGATGAGAGTTACCGAATTCGAACTTAAGGGTCTCCAGCGAATCAGTGCAGACCCTTCCTAGAACTCTTGACATACGGCACTCGAAACCTCTTCCGTATAGTACCCTACGGCTTTCTTACCGTATCTACATTTGTATGTATCACATGTGTACGCGGTGTTCGTAAAGTATCAATCGATCTTTATAATAATCTAATTTTATAATATAATGAACATATTGTTGCACTTTGCAGAGATTGGTGCCAAACAGAAAAACGTTGGACAGAACTAACAAGATATATGCACATAATACGTTGGTACAGGTTGCGTTATTGCATTTGAGAAAAAAACGAAACGAAAATGGGTCTCACGATACGACAAAGTAAATTTGGGATCGCGTGATCTCTATGGAAATTGGTATGCAACACAACGTTTCCCTATCCACTTCCTTCCTGTATGATTCGAAGGGAAGCGTCAAATAGTTATTGCGACGTTGGCTCCGTTTGCGTTTCGTTATCTCAATTCTGGTGCAGACCGACGGCCTGTAATTGTGTTGAGGTCGCCTGTGAGTTAACCAGAAACTACGGTGTAATGCGAAGCCAAATAGCAGCGCAATGCTCTCTCACGAGACCAAAATTGCCGATTAGCCGTATATTTCACTATCGTAACCGCGTTGTGTTTTCGATGACACCGTGGCATTCGCTTAACCTGGGCTACCGAAATACCTAGGGCTTTGAACCAGCAAAGACATTGATTCGAGTTCGAAATCTTTTAACGATTCATCCCGAAACAGGCTAAAGCGTTGCAGGACGTCGTCGAAGCCATTCAAAAAAGACCTTCTGATTTTCCGATGTATAGTCCACGCGATACCGAGGGTCTTTGCGACCGGAAACTGTGCTTCACTGCCGGTACGCCATATGGTAACGAGAACATATTGGTTCGTTGAACAGACATACGATCCGAAATTCTATTTCGATGAATCGTTAGAGCTTACGAAAGCGAAAAGAACTGTTCTACAATTACTCGGACGTCCTCGAAAAGCTCGGATAAGTTACGATCAATCATGCAACGTAAAGATGATCTTTTTTTTCTCTCTGTTCCTGTCTATTTAATGAAATTACGCCGTACAGAATAATAATCAGTTGTTTCTTGTTGTCCCTCAAAGATTCAGAACAACAGCCGTTTCTAATGATATTTTGAGGTGTTCGAAAGACACACGGTGCATGTTAAAACCCGAAACGGAAAGGTACGACGGGAGTGAACGAGAAAAGGATGACCATATGTCTGTATATGCACGATGGAAACGAAAACAATGATCCGGTGAACCAAGAAACGCGCGAGGAAATGAACCGGTAGACCAGTGAAAAGAACTCGTGCAACTATCAGCTAAACGATAAACAAATTCATATTTACAGCAGCTTTGCTACGGCTTTCCACTTCCACGCTGCGTTTTTTTATCTCGATCCTCCGATTTTAATTGTAATTAGACATTTAGCGCGATAGAATCGAATGCAAACACACAAAAAAAAAAGAAAAAGCAAGAAGGCCGTCCGAAGCGTACCTGGAAAGACGTCCTTTGTGTCAGGATTATAAGGATGAATCCATCCGTTTCTCTGTTGTATAATGCACTGGAACATGTTGCCGAGTTAGGCGTGGGTCACGATTCGGCAACGAAATGGAATAACGATGAATCAATGTGCAAGAAAAAGAAAAGAAGACAGAAATTCCGTTACAACCGGCGACGTTGTTCGTCGACGACCGGCCGGTCCCCGGCCACCTTCTCTCTGCGTTCTTCTTTGTGAAAATATCCCTAGAGGGCACACACGGATTAACTCGAGATCGATCCTACGGCTTGATCCACCTCCATGTACCAGATACCGAGATACAGTTTTCAGCACGTCGTGGACGTGTATTACGATTTTCTTGTCGAAACTCTCGGCCGTCTTTTCCTAGAGATAGCCTCGCAAGTGCGGCATCAGAGGGGGCCTGATGATTCCTTTCAACTGGTAAGAAAAATCGATCGGTCCCCGCAGAGAGACACGATCGTCATCGATTTGAATCGTTGAAGCGGAAGGATGTCGGTCTCGATTTCGATCTGACGTGCCTCTCGTTGCGTGACAATTCGTTCAGAGGGTGTTGTATCCGGTGGTTCTTTGTCGATGGTTCACCATCAGAGGACACCGAATACTCGGCCCGCCGTAGCAACGTATCGGGAATCGCGAAGATTGGATCATCTCATAGTCGTTATCCGCGGCGTTGTTGTCGCCGTGTCTCCCCCTATTCGATTATCGGTTTTCTTTCACCTCCGTTCTCGTCATTTTGTGGGTAACCGTCCGCCCCTCTCTGCTTTTCTTTACACATGTGTGACCGTTACACGCTACGCGTTACACCCTTCAGCTTTGCTGTACGACACAGCAGAGAACACACAGCACGGCACAACGCACAGCACGGCACGGCACGGCACGGCAAGCAGGCCACGACACACACCACTTGGCCTTTTATTTTTTTTCCCCCCCCGATCGGTCTCTCCAGCTCTCCCTTGCCCTCCTTCTTTTCTTCGTCTTTTCAGACGAATCTAAAGCCGGTCGTTCACGCTCATCCTCGACGGAAAAACCTTATATGCTGTGCTCCACGTCGAAAGCAATTCGTGTCCAACGGATCTCCAACAGGCAGGTAGTAAGTATGTACAGTTTGCACGACGCGACACGGTTCGGCACAACACAACGGCGCGCACAACGCACTCGACACCGACCGTTCTCGGCCTTGAAACTCGCACTTATTCGCCTACTAGCTGCAATCTATAATATCGAAAAGGTACGATTTCGTCGAGACGAGGAGGAGGAGGCTGCCTATCTCTCTGATCCGAGATGAAAATGAACGGGGATCGGTCCGGAGGAAAGCTTGGAAGAAGTTGGGAACACGGTGGCGACGAGGAAATGGCAGGGTCCGCGATGATGGTTTTGTCCAGGTTCCTTGAGAACGACGAAGAAAGGAAGCCGAGGTAGTTGGGTTTCTCGTTGCTCCTGCGACCAGAGGGTGGCTGGTCGGTTGCTGGCTGGGATCGAACTAGATGGCTCGTCGCCAGGCAACCGGATTTTCTCTCTCTTTCTCGCCACGGGTCTCGCGCGACAGCCTCCCTTCTCCCTTTAGGCTCGTTCTCTCTCTTCGTCCGACTGGCTCGCCGATTCTCTACCCGTGGTGCTCCGTCTCTCGGTTCTGTACCGGTGCTTCTCTCGCCTCGGACTGCTTTCGTTCGAACCTACGCGCCCCACCGTTGCGTCGTTACTCGGTCGCTCTCCCTCGTTCCCATCGGAGCCGCGGCTCACCGGTTCCTCTCTGCCGACTCGCGCCACCCCCTGCATCCTCCGGAACGCATTCGATTCTCCTACCTTGCCTGAGCGCGACAGATATCCACCGCCTGCCACACCGTGGCCGCCTTGCTATACCAACAATGTCGTAAGAAACTCGCCCTCGACGACCACGAATAGTAACAATCGCACGAATTACACGAATCTCGTGTTAACAATATCGCTGTCCAAAATAAAAATATATATTCCTATAATATATACACACTCCTATAATATATATATATATATATATATATATTCCTATTTTGGACAGCGATATTGTTAACATGAGATTCGTGTAATATATATATACCCGGTGCCGAACATATTACCGCACAATCAAACGGGAAGATATTCCATTTAGCTTCACGAGCTTCCGATTTAACTATTAAAGTACGAATTGGAAAGTGCATTTCCGGTCTCTGTTAAACCGAGCTGTTCGAGGAGGATTCAATGGAACAATGCGTCGATCGAAAACGTGTATCAAAAACCAGGATCAGACGGAGCGGAACGCCCCGCTCTCGATGTTTCTCAAATGCCGATGCAGTCCCTTGCGTTTCCCATTGTATGTCATCACCGGTTGTCGGATCGTCCTCGAAACGGCAATTCTCACGGTTGATAGAACAGTTTTGTGGTGCAGCGTGCGCGTGCTCGGCGGCAGCTCGGCGTCACGGCACGACACGGCACGGCACAACGGAGCCGCAGCCGGCGCAGATAAAAAAGAAAGGAGAACGCTCTCTGCGCGTTGCCGAGTCGAGTCGAGTCGAGCCTGGCCGAGCCGAGTCGAGTCGAGTCGATTTAACGAAAACTTTCTACAGAATCTACTAAAACGCTGGGAGACCAGAAACGAGTTTCCGCAAGTCTCGCGCACAAGATTCGTTCTTGAAACACCGTCGTTTCAAAGTCGACTAAGCACGTAATATGTATCGATATATGCTGAGCGAGGCGCTGTTCGGCGGATATCGTATCGGCTCGCGATCGCAAACGGTCCGAAAAATTGTTAGGGAGGGAGAAGGCTAACGAGAATCCCGAGGAATGAGACAATAGATTATGAACAGAGATGAAATAATGAGGGGCCGCACGGAGATGAAAGAGAGGCGAGGTGCGCGGGGGCTCTGGTAGGGGAATCAATGAGCATTACCCGCTTCCCGCTACCCGCTCCCCACAGCTTTTGTTTCTCTCTTCGTCGCACCGCGTTCGAGATGTACATACACTGTGCATCGGCTGGCTCTCCCACCGCGTTGCGTTCTTCTATATAGACCGCTCGTTCAACCCTCGAAGCGTGACCGTGACTGTGACTGTGACTCCGCCGACTCGATCAAACGGAGTGCGCGTGTCCACCGTGTGTACGCTAGTCTCGACTCTGCTCTGGTCTTTCGCCTCCATTCGCGCTCGCGTCCCGTCCGCTCGCGACCGAAGACTACTCTTCTCTTTACATCCAAACATACCGCAGTCCGTTTCACGGCCGCGGCCGTTATTTAACCCGGAGCCACCCACGCCGGCACGCTCCCACCCTCTATTTTCTAACCGCGCTTTTCCTTCCTTCACTGTTTTTAACAAACAACCATTTCCATCTATTGGCTTCGCCACGTTCCTGCATTTTTTATTTTTTTTTTTTTTTAGAAAGCTCAGAAACAAGTTTCACTTTAACGGCTGCATCGCGCCGTTCACTCAAACAGTTCGTTGTCATTTTTTCTATCTATTCTTTCTTCTATTTTTTCTATTCATTATTTCTTTTTTCTATATAATATTTTTTTTCGCTGTACCACATTTTTTCTTAGAAAAGAATTCAATAGAGAGCCTCCTCGTCAGAAATTCCGAGACAATGTTATTCCCTTCTGTAAAGGTGATATGCACGATCTAATTTTATTTGTTGTTCGTTCGGTTACAAAAACTTGGGATACAATTCTTCGTGTAATCGGACTAAGGTGTTTTGATATACTGCATCCATTACGCTGCAATGTAACTTATGCATGTTTTGCAAAAATAATGTTATTATTATTGCAACCAGGTAATAAAATCTTTTAATACTTTATACCATACATAATTACGACACGTGATATTAGGTTGCCGACGTTTTACGTAGAGTATATAAGAAACCACCTATTTATAAATGTCCGGACGTGTAACGTGTTTGAAATTCCGTAATTTGTTCGTTATTCGGTTCGCTTGTTTCGATATCAACTGACATACTTACAATCTCGCAAATCTGCGTAATCGCAGCAATAAGTTAATTATTATCGACGATAAACGGTTCTCCCGAATGATAACGAGAGATAACCAAATTGTTTCTGTGTGGCCCCCTGTTGCATCATAGTCTAAAATAAAATTTTACTATTTTTGCTCGCGTCTACTCCCAGCTCTGTGTGCACGGTCGCAAATAAAACGTTATTACTTGCATGTAAACAATTATTAAGAATATTTTGCTGCTAATTAACCATTTTTCTCGCACCAATGCAGGATTTCATTTTATTTTCTCTGTAACAAATTTGGTTAATTTAAAGATGCACTTGCACAGTACGTGCAAGAGATCTGTGATCTCGTTTTGCAGAATTATTTTAGAGGTTATGACACTGAACGCGATACACTTGAATTTAGAATGATTCACGTGCGATATTACCGTACATTTTTGAGATAACAAAATTAGTTATTTTAAATAATATTTTCCCTTTCCCACATTTACGGATAGCTTAAAAAAGAAATTGGTTCGATCGCCACGCAGTGCTAAATGTTACGTATTATAGAGCTGTCAGAGTCATCTGTTATTTAATTTCGGAGGTAGGTCTATTGGATTTCGACTTTGACTGAATATAGTAAATCGATTTAACTTGTATACATTTGCATCTATTAATAATTTGCCCGAAGCAGCAAATTATTACTTCCACACTATCCTTTTTTCTTTTTTTTTAAACTCCGAAGGTACTAGAAAAAAAATACGCTTCTTCATGACCGAGTTTAGAGTATCTGTTGCAACTGCAACGATGCAAGAGGGGAATGATTCAAATTCTGTTTTTATACTCAACTAAGGATCACGTTACTAATCGGATCCAGTGAAATTAACGACTCGAACCGTTCGTGTGCAAACAAGGGAAAAGTACCTTACACACATCTCGGATATATCGTTGTTTGATAATGGTTTATTGTTCGAAAAAATTTGATCGAAATTCCGGAGTGGTATTTATAGATTCAAAAATACGGATCGAACAAAGTCCACGTACGAGTGCATTGTTTTTCGTTAAACCCGCGTTTACAGTGTATACATATAATTTAGTTACGGACGAACATTCGTTTCTATGCTGGAACGAACAACGTTACAGAGGCTAGGAGAGTATAAATCGAAAAGCCATGCATAAAGGAAACGATGAACTAAGTCACACACGCGACTTCGTGGTGGAAACAGCCGTAGCGAACAACGGAATTGTACGCATGCGCGCCGCCAGCCATCAAAGAATACAGATACGCATCTACGCGATGACTGAACTGTTGAACGTGTGTGCATTTAGGGGGAAAGGGATGAGGGATCAGCGTTCGGAGGAGGGGCATGCGTTAAAACAAAATAAAAATGAACCTCGAACGTTTGTAAACGGAAGTAGGGATGGGCAGCCGATGTACGTTCTTCTAGGGACTTTCGATTGAATCGAATTATAAGAATGCTGAACACGTTTCACACGGTACGCACACCGACTATGGGCGGGGGAAAAGCTTTTGAAACTGTGATCAATATTTTGTAATTTTTCTAACAATAGCTTCTTGCTTTTTCTAAAGTTGTATACGCGTTATTTGACTATGAAAAACGACTTGCAGCCCGTGTCGATAGTATTATAATAACTGCGTGATCGGAAAGATGATATCCAACAACGTCTGGCATGCGAGTTTTCGCGAGAATATAGAATACTATGAAACCGATCCTTGGTGCTTCCCACGACTTTAATATGCAGACAGGGCAGTTTCAAGCCGCCGCGCCAACATTTCAACTGGAAGACGTGCAAGCACCTCGTTCGTCTCTATCGGGTACCATTGCAATTGCACGACCGCATAAAACGCCTAACGCAACAAACATTATCTATTTTTAAACATTTTCAAATGTTCCTCCATTTTTGCATATACGAAGGCGATTCGATCGTAAGCTTAATTTGTAATATTGTGAAGATCATTAACCATCGTATAATTGCTTGAAACTCTGTTGTACCACTGGCTGCACGTTCTAACGAAACTTCAAACATCTGTCGGCCATACAGTGTACAGGCTTGTTCGGACACATCGAACATGCTCTAGCCATTCTAAAACATCTATTATGCATAAAATATTATCGAACCTTGTTACTTAATGCGTCATTCGTGTATTTAATAATTTGCAATGATCGCGAGCGATCAGAGTGTACATCATATAGAACCATAATAGAATAGGAAAAAGGAGACTTTCTCTTTAGGTAAAAGCAGGAAGAAAAAAGAAAGCAAAAGGGAGAGAGAACGCGTGTGTATCGTGTANTTCGCGAGAATATAGAATACTATGAAACCGATCCTTGGTGCTTCCCACGACTTTAATATGCAGACAGGGCAGTTTCAAGCCGCCGCGCCAACATTTCAACTGGAAGACGTGCAAGCACCTCGTTCGTCTCTATCGGGTACCATTGCAATTGCACGACCGCATAAAACGCCTAACGCAACAAACATTATCTATTTTTAAACATTTTCAAATGTTCCTCCATTTTTGCATATACGAAGGCGATTCGATCGTAAGCTTAATTTGTAATATTGTGAAGATCATTAACCATCGTATAATTGCTTGAAACTCTGTTGTACCACTGGCTGCACGTTCTAACGAAACTTCAAACATCTGTCGGCCATACAGTGTACAGGCTTGTTCGGACACATCGAACATGCTCTAGCCATTCTAAAACATCTATTATGCATAAAATATTATCGAACCTTGTTACTTAATGCGTCATTCGTGTATTTAATAATTTGCAATGATCGCGAGCGATCAGAGTGTACATCATATAGAACCATAATAGAATAGGAAAAAGGAGACTTTCTCTTTAGGTAAAAGCAGGAAGAAAAAAGAAAGCAAAAGGGAGAGAGAACGCGTGTGTATCGTGTATGTGTGTGTGAGAGAGAAAGAGAGAGAGAGAGAGAGAGAGAGAGAGAGAGAGAGAGAGAGAGAGAGAGAGAGATGAAAAGAGAAAGAAAGATGCAGAAGTGCGTGGTTGCAACTTACTGTTGAAGACGAGCAGCTTCCGTGTGGAGCCAAGCCTTTTGATGGGTGACTTCACGCCGTCGATTTCTTCTTCGTCCATCACACTCCCTTCAAGTATTCTCCGATGTTTGCGAAATATCCCGTGTGCAGGGTAATGTTTAGCTCCGTTTTAACGCGCACCGAACGTGACGTTTTTCCCTCTAAACGCAAGTAAAGAATTCTTGTCACAGTTCAAAGCATTCTCGAACACGAGGAGGTCACCGCTTTGTTGCGGTGAAACCGGTTTACCGGTGGCTTTTCTACGATCTGCACTAGACGCGCTATCAACGAGTACGAGTACACATGTGCTGGCCGTGCATACGGCGCGGTGGCCAACCTATAAAATACGGGAGAAAGAAAACAAAACGAAGACGAGAAGAATGCCAACGAGAGAACGAGCGTGTGCGGTCTGTCGGGACTGTCGGTTGGGTAAGCGAATCAGCGAACGAGTGAACACGAGTGAACGGCGCGGCGTTCAGACACGCTTCTGCCAGTGTCTGCCTCGACGGCAGCCGAATCCCGATGCTATGGCCGAACCTAGCTTCGACGAGGGTCACCGTGCGAACGCCGGCTGCTTTCTGGCTACCCCGAGTCCCCGAGGCACACGGAGGATATTCTTGGACTCTCGTATATTAATTCAAGTTCGAGGGATCGGCGTCGCTACCGCCGTCACCGTCGCCGTCGCCGTCGCTACCGCCGTCGTACATCGTCACTTGCCCGCCACGTCGCGTCACTTTTGTTGCCTAGCAACTGCATCTCCGCGATAACATTTTGCTGCCACCTACCGTGTTGCCTTTCTATATACCTAGAACCTATCCTCGGTAGATAAAGCGAATATCGTTCCAACTTGAAATTTACAAGTTCATTTTTCGATGAAAGATCGAAGCTTAGAATTTAGAATAACGGTCTTCGAACTTTCGAAACATGCATTTAATTGATTACATTTTTCTTTTAGCGAACAATTTCCCTGCAAGTTCGATCAAATGATTCCGTTAAATATTAATATCGAAGTCGGTATTTCATATTCGGTATCCAATCTATTTTTATATTTTCGAGTCACGAATATAGTTTTACATTATCATAATAGGTGTGTATCTACAGAAATGAAAGAATTTTTAGATTTTCGAGTTTTATCTTCGAAAATCCTCAATTTTTTACTTTGATTTGCGAAGTCTAGGCAGGAGTTGCGCAGGCGCAGAACCCCGGCCTAAGACACGCAGCTTGAAGATTGTTGAAGATCACTGACTTATGGTGGCTGCTATTTTTGCAATGTACAGCTTTACCATGGTAACGAAATGTAAAACAAAGTTGACAAACACTAGTTGTCCCGTAGAACAACGCGAGGTATCGGATAGAACAGTTACGAGTTCGTATCTTTTACAAATAGACCGATAAAAGTGAAAATCGGTGTAGAAACAAATCGCACGCGATGCAAAGACCATCGACAGGTGTATCTGTATTGCAAAATAAGTTTGATAGATCTCGTAGGGCAACCAGACATGAATTAGGGGACTATTATGTTACTTCTGGAAGTACGCGACCGTCTACACCTGGACAAAATGTCCTGGCAAGACCACCGACTTCTTCTTTTTTATTCAATCAAATGCAAGCTAACAGTTCCCGAGTAGCTACAAGTTCTGGTAGTTCGATGTATTCGAACAGTACAGTTCCTATGCTTGGTCAAACAAATATCAATATCATGGAAAGACCGATAACTCAACATGGAGTAGCTGGTGTCAGACCGGGCACAGGTAGAGGATTGTCCATGATGAGGTAAATTTATTCAGAGAGAATATCTTTACTGTAATAGTATTTGTTTTGTCACGTTTTCTCCGTGAGATCGAACTGTTAATCTACGGAGGTCGTAAGTTTCCGATTCAAATTTGTATGACACCGAGTCTGCGCGATTCCGTATGACTCTTTCGAGTGATACGGATGATAGGTTGATGTAGAATGGTTTTAATAGCGAGATGACTAATTGTATTTGGTTTAGAATGAATTGAGTTGAGCTGACACTGACTGATCGATGACCGACGAATGACTAAAGAGTATTGTTTTATAATATACAGTTTTTGTTTATAGGCAAATTCAAGACAAAAGGTATTACAGTGGTATTTTGCAACTGAAAATAAGGGAATTGAATCAAGAAATTATTACTCTTATGAAAGATATCGAAGATCAGAATAAAGAGAGCGCCACTTATCTGCATTACGATAAAAGAGCCAAAGATTTAGCTACAGAATTGATAACTTTGCAGGGACAACTGGCAGACTATAACATTGTAGTGGATAAAATGACATCGGACATTGGGAAAGATACGGTAGAACAAGAAACGGATGAACTCGCAGCAAAGAACGAAGAAAATTTAACAAGAATTGAAAATATGTTCGAGGAAAGAAAGGAGTTAGAACAACAGTTAATTAAGTTAGAGAAACAATTGGAAAATGAAAAGAAACGAAGAGACAGGCTTGTTGAGAGTATGAGCTCGAACGTGAAAGAAAAATATACCGAATTGCTGGAAGAGAAAGCAAGCTTGCAAGAGAAAATAAATAAAATGCAACAAGAACTGGATGCATTATCTAAAGAACAAGTTTTTCTGGAGGAAGAAATAGCTTTGTCACCTTTGAAACAAGAAGCTGTAAAGTTGCAGCTTCAAATTATAGAGATAGAAGAGAAAAGAGGAAAATTAAGGGAAGAAGAGAAACGTAGAATATCTCCGGAAGAGGAAAAAGAAAAGTTACTGCAGAAAATTAAGCAAGACAATATGGATATCGCGGCTGCCGAAGCCCAGTTAGCCGAAAGAAAGAAAGCGATTGAAGAAGCGGAACACGAACTTGAACAATTGGAAGCCGATATAGAGGATAACCAATCTGAGAAACATATAAAATACAAGGAACTTCGTAAAAAAGAAGAAGCCATGGAACAATTTATGTCTACTTTCGAACAACACAAACAAGACGAAACCAAGAAATTATATAAATTGGAAGAGAAAGTGGTTGATTATTTGAAAAACATTTCGAGCATATTAAACACTGATATTGATATTGTAGACGGCAATGAAATGGCTATATTGCACGATATAATCTCCAGCAATGATGATGAATACATCGACAATGATGAAAGTTATGAAGGATTAACAAAAGAAAATCTAAAGTTGCAGCAAATTTTGGGTAAAGTAGACTTGTTGGAACAGAGACTTCAAGCAGAGTTTTCAAATCTCAGTGAAAAAATAAATAAGAAGGAAAACAAACTAACGATTTTGGAAGATATAAATAATTTAAAATCAAAATTATCGACGAAGCAAGAACAATTAATAGAGGAATGCGAACAACTGAAAAAACAACGATCGGAAAATATACAAGAACGTAAATCGCTTCAGTCCGAATACGATGAGATTAAACTCCGATTAGGAAATAATGAAATATACATTCAGATTGACTTATTAGAAAATACCATAGAAAAGTTAATAGAAGAACATGAAAGAATTAAAGACTTCATTTGCAAGCAAAGAGAACGGTACAATTATGGCCCAATAAAAGAAGATACTTTTAATTTAATGACTAATTATAACACTATGTTGAAAGAGAATCTAAAACCTATTTATTAATATATACACTTTACGTAATATTACATTCTTATTTGATATTATTTTATGACGTGATTTGTAGAAAATAGGAGTTCATATTTTGTCATAAATTTGATAAAATCTGCTTCAAATTTTGAACTTGGTTGTACACTTTTTTGTACCATTTCTTCGTGTAGCTAGACAAGCAATTATTCTGAAACGATAAATGTTCGAACGAAAAATAAAGTACAATACATACTTTACTAATTATATGTATATAAATAGTAGTATAATACCTTCAATAAATTTTGCAATTCTTTTTGATTACATTGTGCTAATGCTATTGCTATATTCACTATCGCTATTTCTTTTCCTTGAACATTAACTATCAGACGATATACATCGTTCAATAAATGATTGCATTTTCCAGATGAATTTGAAGTTTGCTTAATTAGTTGTGTTAATATTTCTTATTTTGCAGGAGTTTTATTATATGTTTCAACACATCTTTTAAATTCATTTATAGTAAATTCAATGTTATTTTCTAGTACGGATTTTCTAAGTGGAGTGATAAATATAACGTCATTGTTTTCGCAGTAACTGTTTTCTATTAAAAGATTGACCATTTATTTTACACAACTATAATTACTACATCTTACTACTAAGTTTAATAAATGTAAGCATTGCGTGAAAGCCTTTGTTCTGTGACTGACATTGGTGCATTTTCAAAGCTTCATTTGTTTGATTGTTTTTTGCCAATAATTTCTTTCAAGAAATAAAATATAAGATTCTTCCCGATGCTGTTAACTTTCTCTGCAATTACGGGAATGTCAGTAACAATTTTACAGGCGTCAACAAAAATGATCGTTAATCTCTTTCATATTTCAATTTTGCAAATTTACAGTTGTCATTTTGAAATTCGGGTGGTACGACATCTAACATGTATTTTGAGTAAGCATACATAATCACATTATCGACTGAGTGGCAGGGTTCGAAAGAGAGAGAGAGAGAGAGAGAGAGAGAGAGAGAGAACATTTTCGGAGACTACTCTGAACTGTGCTGCAGAATGGCATCATCCAATCCCATGGTGAGATCTCTCTTCTACCACTCTGCAGTCCAAATCACTGGTATGCAAGATAATGCATATAAGCCTATTCGAAAAACAAAACAAAAACATGAGAAAGTTGAAGACACCATACACAAAAAATCAATATAAATTAATGAAAACAGGCATCTAAGGCAGGATGTGATAGATTAGCTCTTTTTACAACAATCTTTCAGATTGCCAAACAACCTATGTGTATTTATGATTTTTCTTTTAAAATAGCCACTTTATGGGCCACGAACTAAATTTCGGCAAATAATTATGGAAAAATTAATGCCAAAATGAATAAGCCAAGGGCATAGGAACAGGAACTTAGGATCCTTTATATAAAAAAAAAAATAACAAATAACAATACTGCAAGACATAAATTAAGCACAATTAATTGTTTTTAGCAATGCATTGCTAAAGATTAAACCAGAGGTTCTACACATTCTATTCATTTCAGTTAACACTAGATTATCTAAGGAAGTCATTTTTTTTGACTGTTCTTTAATTTCAATTAGAAAAAAAATTATGTATATAATGATACAATTTCTTAGAATTTTATGACTTTTTGTACAACATATAAATGCGTTTATTAATAATTGTAGTTACCTCCCCCCCCCCTC